ATAATACCAAGTATTATTGTAAGATGGAGCCTTTGTATTACGAGCTAGTGTGTGGGTGAATGTACAAGAGTTCTTTGAGCTTGTGATCCCGGAAGAGATCAGGGGATCGTGTTTCCCCAATAGTGGTATCAGAGCCGAGGTTGTTGATGGTATAGAAACAGGTAGAGCTCGTGGTGGGGACAGACCTCGTCTCCACTGTGATGGTAATAGTGTTGTCAGAGGCATACGAGATCATGCACTTTAATTTGATGGGATGATGGACTTCACTTTAGAGCTTGGGTCATACATGTATGGGATAGAGTGAGATGAAATGCATTGTGTGGGTAGTTCTCAGTTTGGGCGGCGTATCCCGTTAGTAGGTAACGACGGTACAAGATAGTTTAGTGGATCAATTCTTGTTGCGGAGGAGATCATGATCATTCCATGGTGGCTGCTCATATGGTGTGATACATGCTTTGTTTGAGGGGGAGCAACTCACATGCAAGGTGGAAGTTGGTGAGTCTAAATGTGAGGCTCTTATTGGTGGTTGACTGTTACTTCTCAATTAAGTCGGCAGGGGGAGATTTGTTGAGAAGCTAATGAGAATTCTAGAATACTGCGGAGATGCCTAGAATTCTCTAGATGTGTGTAGAGAAGTATTGACTGTTCTAGAATATTCTGGAGCTTTTTAGAGAGGCGTGGAATTATCTAGAAGCGTGTGGAAGAGTGTATAATATTCTATAATATTGTGGAGTTTTCTAGAGAATTGTGGAATTATCTAGAATCGTGCGGAAGTGTGTGGAAGCCTCTAGAACAATCTCAAGCAGTGTGGAGTTCTCTAGATCCTTCCAGAAGATTAGAGAAGCTTGTTGATATTTTTTGGACGACTATAGAAGTGTAGTGGTGCATAGAGTGTTTTAGAGAATCTTAAGGAGATTAGTATAAATAGGTGTGACACTCCTCATTCCCATGTTAGGGCCTAGAGAGTGTGAGCCTAGAGAGAGCTTTGTGAGAGCCTCCTCAAGTGATGAAAGAGAGAGAGCCTTGAGGAGAGCTCTTGAGTGAGTGAGTGCCTTCTTGAAAGATGTGCGTGAGAGTGAAGTAGTCCAACATACAAAGAGTGATGTGAGCTACCTGTTTACTTGTAAAATATCTCTCGTACATTTCAATTGTATAATACAAAGTGTTATTGTAAGATGGAGCCTTTGCATTACGAGTGTGTGGGTGAATGTACAAGAGTTCTTTGAGCTTGTGATCACAGAAGAGGTTGGGGGATCGTGTTTCCCCAACACTAAATGCTAGCAACAACATCATTTCTTCTTGGCCGGTTGGTATATTATTATTAAATACCTATTTAATCCTTTTTATGGACAAAATATTTTCATTGAATTTAACCACCAATCATAATTTTGTACATGGAGTCTCACTGTGCGAAGGTGTCTCGCAAGACTTCTCGCAAAGGTTTTTTGTGCGACACTTTTGCCTTTTCGAAGCTTGGTCTTTTACCGTCTTCTCTTTATGCGATTAATGTTTATGGCCTTCAACAGAATTGAAGGAGGACTTGCGTCAGTTAGAGTTGCGAGGTATTGTATTTCAATGTTTACTTTGATGGAGCATGCGCTCGTGGTGGTTGATTCGAGTGGGACACAGACGGGTTGGGGTCCATTGAAAGGGGCAAATTTGGGTTCCACTCGACTCACTGGGGGTTAACACGATTAATTTGGTCGATTCAGTGGGTGGCCGACTGCAATTAGTTGTCATACGTGAAAGACAGAAGTCAATCAATGATCGGTGGAAAGACTGTTGAAGAACATGCTGTTAATGGAGGTTGTCGATGGTTTCGAGTAAAAGATCGTCAACGAGTCTTGTTTAGAAGGATGGAGTCAGGCTCGCAAAGAGATTTAGCACGAGAAGGGGTCTGTTTGGCTCTAGAAGGAATCAGTCCATCTATCCCCAAAAAAGGAGACATGCAAGAGTTGCAGGTCAACCCTGTGCGGGATTGTGAGACTGACTTCTTTAGGTGACTTCGAGGCTGATTGTAGAGTCTACTCTCTAATACAAAATAAAGTGGGTGCATTGTAGCTGATTTGCCACTTCAAAACCTGGAATAAAGTCCAGGACGAGGTCCATATTGAGGTCTTGGGTTCCACTTTCTACAAAGCCAAAAATGAATTTGTGGGCCTCCATGTATGTTCGTGCACCCACTTGCTTTTTTTCCTTTTCATTTAATTTTTCTGTCTTGTTTCGTTTTATTGTTTTACACTTGCATTGTAGTTGTATTTGAATAGATCTTACGACTTTTCCATGTATTCTTGACCCATATTTGAAATACGTCCTCATTATTTTGGCATCTCAACATCAATGCACAACAACATTGGAGATTCTCTAAGAAAACTGAGTTTGTATGACTAATATAGAATTGATAAAACAAAAATAAAGTAAAAAATGATTATGAAACACACATATATTATCAAATCAGATTTTATACTCCCTCCGTTCCACTATAATTGTTCCATTTTTCACTTTCCGTCTGCCCCACTAAAATTGTATCATATCATATTTAGTAATATTTGTGTGATTCAAATTGATTCTTACCCCATTATTCTCACTTTATCAACCACATAATTTCACTTTTCTTAAAAATCGCAAAACTCCCTTATGTCACAATATTAGGAGGACAGAGGTAGACTGAAACAATTTTAGTGAAACAGATCAAAAAGACATAAAATCATAGAGAGACCGAGTGAGGATGTTTTCTTTTGGACTGTTTTCAGTCCCAGACCAGACCGATTCAGACCAGACCAGACTAGACTAGACTTCTGTAGTTATAAAATACACAGAGACCATGCGTTTTCCAGACCAGACCAGACCAGACCAGACCAGACCGGATTAGACCAGATCAAACCAGATAATCAAATTTCAGTCCAAAACAAAACATCTTGAATTATACTGTAATTTATAACTATCAATAATGAATTAATTGAAGGTAAGGTTAGATTAGAGTCCATCCCAGCTCACTCATGCACGTAAATTATATTATACACCCGGGTGTACATGTACACCCGGTTTTTAAATGACGTGGCAGACTGATTCTCTTATTCATCTCTATTCCTGATTCTTCCTCATTCCCTCACTCCCCGTTACTTTTATTTATTTCAGCCCCCATTCTTTTTCATTTTTACCCTCCATCCCGTCATCCTAGTTTGTTGTATACTACGTATTTGATTTGTCTTTTTTATTTTACTTTTTCGTTACTTTTTTTCTCTTCTTTCTTTTTTCTCTTCGTTTCTTTTATTTTACTTTAGTTACTTTTTTAGTTCTTTTTTTCTTTATTTTAAACTCAAATAATTATAGCGTCTAAAAAGAATAAATAAATACAAATGAACATTTCAATTTTTGAAAACTCATTTTGTAAGTAATGTATGTCCATTTAGTACCTTTGTTATGCTTATTTTAAAATGTTTATCCATGTATATTTCAAAAGTCTCATATTACATTAGATTCGCATAGAATTTGATTATAGACACGAGACCACAAACCACGATACTCAATTGCATGATTCTAGTACCCAATAACGGAGGCTCGATGCTCACTGAAAATATCTTGATGTTCAACAAACAAAACATACAATTTTCATATCAATGATCATCTTGTAAGTTACGAATGCTCATTTGTATAGGTCTGATGCTCATTAAAAATTCATTAATGCTCATTGATCTCAATAGAGGATGTTTGATGCTCAATTAAAATGTCGTGATATTCCACTAAAAAATCTTATGATCTTCACATCAATGCGCATTTTGTAAGTTACTATGCTCATCCGGTAGTCATCTTATACTCATTTTCTAAATGATACTCCGTATAATTTACATATGCTCATTTCTATAGGCCTGATGCTCATTAAAAATTTATTAATGCTCATTTAATAGAAATCATGATTTTCATCAATCTCAATAGAGGAGTTTTGATGCTGAATGAAAATGTTGTGATGTTTAACCAACCAATTAGCTACCAAATTCATTAATACTCATGTTGTAAGTTACATATGCTCATCTGATACTCATTTTATGCTCATTTTCTAAATGTCATATCAATGCATTTTTTAAAAGTATTATTTTATGATAGACTCCTAATACTCAACATAATAGGATTGATGCTCATTAAAAGTTCATTATTGCTCATTCACAAGAAACTATGATTTTCATCTCAATAACAGATGGTTGATGCTCAATTAAAATGTCGTGATGTTTAACTAACAACCCTTACGATAAAAAATAACAAAAAAAGTGAATTAGAAGTTTGTAAAGCAGAGATCACGATTCTGAATATTAGACTCCTAATACTCAACAGAATAGTTAGGGTGCTCATTAAAAGTTCATTATTACTCATTCTCCAGAAGTCGTGATTTTCATCTCAATAGTTGAGGTTTGATGCTCATTTAAAATGTCATGATGTTCAACTAACAAACCTTACAATTTCATATCAACGTGCACTTTGTTAGTTATGTATGATCATTTGATATTGATGTTATGCTCATTTTTAAAATGTCATATCAATGCATATTTCAAAAGTATCATATTACATTAGACTCGCATATTGAAATTAATAGTAGTGAATTTTAGATATAATTTAATACGGATTAAGTTTTTATAGCAGAAAAAATAGAAGATATGAAGCAGAGATCGCGATACTCATTATTAGCCTCATAATACTCAATACAATATGTGAGATGCTCAACAAAACTACAATGTTGCTCATTTAGAGGAAACCATTATTTTTCGCTTAAATTACAAAACTGCCACCGAAAAAAATAGATTGTTTTAATTAAATGGACTGTCTTTCTTTTAATTGGGCCTTTTTATGGGCCATCCGTGGGATTCATTTAATTCTATTCAAACTGGGTTATTAAAATGGACTGAAGTTTAATAAATTTAAAAAAAAACCCGGATGTACGGTTCTCACCCGTACACCCGGATGTACGATATACGTACTCACTCATGCATTTTGGAAGTCATCCGTTTTCCCTTTCTTCTTAACCACACACCGTTTGTTTGTCTAAACTTGGTCGCAGGAAAGATCTGTTATCTTTTAGGACCGAAACCGCACTGCTTTATCCACTCTTTTCCAGCCTTTCCTTTCATCACCTCCGGCGGCAATGGCTGCTTCTTCTCCAACTATAATCCCTACCCTGTCAACGTCCCGCTTGTCCAAGACACCGGTGTCTTGCTCTTCTTCTCCCTCACTCACTGCCTTCAACGTATTCCCCAGTGCCTTAAGGCCTCTGGTGCTCCACACGAAGAAGAACAGACATTCTGAGGTGCTCGCCAATGCCCAGCAGACTTTTGAATTCTCCGGTGGTTCATTATTCGATTCCGAGTTCGAAGACGATGACGAGCCACCATCTACTCCCGGTTGGGGCATTCCCGATATAGAAGATAGAGAGGAGCCCCAGTGTCCTCCAGGGCTGAGGCAGTATGAAACGATGACGGTTTTGAGGCCCGACATGTCTGAAAATGAACGGTTGGCACTCATCCAGAAATATGAAGAGGTATTCAACTAAACGCTTCCCTTCTTTGCTCAATTTATGAATTTATTTGAATCGCAGTAACATTAGTAGCATAAAAGTGAGAGCTTCCTTGGCTCCCAATTTAAGATTTTTCATAATCAGATAATTAGATCTCCATATAAATAGTGTGTCAAGATTGATAATTTTTATTGCATTTTGCAGTCAACTACTCCTTTTTAGGTCAAAATTATTAAATACAGAATACTGATTATACTGGCGAGTGAAGTAGTTGTATTACTATTAAGTCTAGTTCATTCGCTTGTAATGTAGCTCGTTGGAATTATTATCTTAATTTGCCAATTAGGGTTAGTTTTCCTCTATCCATTAGTATTAGTAGTTTAGTTTACTTCTGCCATTGTATTATATGCAGTAGCTGCTAGGGTAACCCCCACTGGTAATTCTTTTTCATGCCCACTCCTAAACAGAGGATTAAAGGGGATGGTTTACCCATTTTTATTGGTAATGGAGGATCTTGCAAATTCCTTTACATGAATACATAAATGAATCTTTTATTTGGGTGATTGGGTCATCCATAACATGTAACTCATCTCACAACTTCAGTAACTAATTTTAGAACTGTACCAACAGTTACAGAGACATGGAGTTACAGAGATATAACACTCTTTAACCTATATATGTGTCTTTTGGGCTTCTTCAGTTTAGAGACAAAACATGCTCCACAACTTTTTTATTTAGTTTTATTCCACAGAAATAATTAAATTTTTTATATCTTCCCAGGCCTTAATTAGATTATACTACGTATATAGTACACATTAGGCTCTTGATATCACATCTAGTGATATCACATCAATAGCTTATCTTCAGTCTACCTGACCATATTTTTCTTTTCTAGCTGTGAACCTTAGGCACTGTTTGGCCTAGTAGTGAAAAAGTTATTTGAGCGAATGCAAATTAAACAAGAGTGTTTTAAATATAAGTGTTATTGAGATAACACAGTTGGGTATTTAACCTACTTAATTATACATGTTTTATTAAATCTAGAAGAGTAACAATTGTTTTTGAAAAATAGGTAAGGATAATTTGTATCATGGATAGTTTAAAAAAGTGCATTTAGAAGTTCTTTTTAGAAAAAGCACTTTCCAAAACAGACCAAACATACAACTTTCAGTTTTTAGATTCTCTTAAATCGCTTGTAGACCACTCCTAGGCTAAATGTAGCCTTACTTTCTGGTATTCACTTGTTCTTTATTCCCTGTCATATGTAGATAAGACATGTAGCCTTATGCTAATAACTAAACATTATATGTTGAGTTGGTCATTATGATAGCTTGACTCAAACAAATCAATTTGATCCGTGAGATAAAAGATTCCTCAAATCCAATTGAAAGCTGAAACGATAAGAGTTTTTCCCCGTTACATTTATCTGTATGGTGAAATACTGAAATGGTAGCATTACACACACCCATCTATATTGGAATTGACTCTTTAGCACCTTATTGGATAGTAGGAAGGTGATGATAATACTCTTTTGCTTGTGACGGAGCTTATATTTAGATATTTTAAGCATCAGTCTATTGCTCTAGTATAATTACCTGAAAGTTGAAAATTGGACATAATAAGCACTTTAATATCTGATTCTTATTGATGAGTCAATTATTAAATCAAGTATATACGTCATTGGTAAAAATGTTTTTGTCCTGTGTTATTTATAAGTCGTGGAGATGCCTATAAAATATCTAAAGTTACCAATTAATACAGGATTAAGTTTGCGGAGTCTTATGACTTTCATATGGAGTCATATTGACATATTGTTCACTTGACCTCATCATCACCATTCATTTGCATAGTGGGACGACACCATTATAAAAAATAATGGTGTCATCAGACCCGACATCACCCTTTTGTTTGAATATTTCTGTTTTGGTCTAGCGTAGTCAATTTTTTTGTGTAATCAGGTGTGGTCAGTTAAAATAAGTATTAAGGAAAAAAGGGTGAAGACAGCACCACCTAAATTATTTAGTTTCACACCTTTCTCAATTCTCAATAAGGCATGTTTAATTCATTCTAAAAGTAATACCAAATTCCTTAATCACAATATTATTGAGTAAAATCTTTTGGGCATGGCTGAGTTTTCCAAACATTGTTTATCAATCTGTTCCTGTTTTTTTCTTGTAGTTGCTTGTTGCTGGGGGTGGTGTGTATGTGGAGGTGTTCAATCGAGGGATTGTTCCTCTTGCTTATGGTATTAAGAAGAAAAACAAAGCAGGAGAGACCAACATATACTTTGATGGAATCTATATCTTGTTCACATATTTTACCAAACCAGAGTCCCTAGAAGAACTAAAGGAGATGCTGAATGCTGATGATGATGTCATCCGTTCAACCAGTTTCAAGATAAGGAAAAGGAAGTATTGATTTCTTGCATGGCTCATGAAGTGACTATTCATTCCAGGTTTAGGCATTTAGTATGAACTTGCTGCCTGGAATAATGAGTCCCCTAGACTCATTATTTTCCCCTAGTGATTGCTATCATGTTTTGGAGCAGCTGTGCATATGATATTGGTATATGAAAATCTGATTGATCTATGTGTCCTGCGCCAATCACATGTTCTAAATAGTAATTGCAACTAATTATTAATCACATATGCATCCTTTTCCTGTGCCTTTTTTCTTAATCATATCAATACAATCACAGGCCAGTTCGGGTCTGAAAACTGGAAGAGCCTTAGCTGGAATGGGTATTAATACTGGTTGACCAGGAAAATTGAGTTAAAAATCCAGAACAGGGATATGAAAACCGATTACGGACCCACTTCATTGCAACCCTAACTGGCCCAACCTTCATCAGTTGCTTGTCCGGTTCAAGCCCGGAAAAGCATTTTTTGGGTAAAAAAACCTCACAGCCTTAGCCAGGTTCTGGTTTGGAGTCGGACTGTCGGAGCCATGTCCAAAGAGTACTTAATGTTGGGAATTGACTTGAACAAGAAAAAACTAAACCAGGAGCTAAATATATCAGTTCCGGGCCTCTTTGATTGTAACTCCTACTAGAGACCAATTACCTGTCAGGCTGTCATGTTTTCTTACCTGACAGGTAACTCCTAATGTACTCTCTCAGTAGTTTCTTTGTTCATTGAAACTTTGCCAACTTTCCCTTTTTAGTTGTCTCATTAACTTTGCCGCTTTCCCTTTTAAGCAAAGAATTTTTTGTTTCTGGTTAATTCCCTCTGAATAAATCTCAATCACACAGTTTTTATTTTATTAATCCTCGTGCTAGTCAAACTTGACCAAGTTTTAAGGGACGCAAGGAGTATAAATAAGCCTACATGCAACTCCTACTGTAGAAACGATTGTCATGTAACACCTAATGTTAAGGGTGCGTTTTCTCTGTTTGAAGATTTTGAGTTGAGACCATGTCCAAGCCTACGTGGTGGTGAGATTTGATTGATTCAGGTTTGAGGCTCAGCTTTAGGGTGACTGAGACTCTGAGAGAGATGAGAGGAATCCTTACCATCCTCGCCTAACAAAAAGATTTTATCCAGGAGAATATGGCATTTCCACATTATTGTTCCATTTCTAAATCCAAATGCTCATTTGATTCTAAAAGTTTTTTTTTGAACCGTCTAAAAGTTTACTTATAGAGTAAGGCGTATAAAAATCATTTATTTATTTTATGAGCGTTAGGACAATTCTATGATATCTTGAGTGGTGATTTTGTTAACATTTTTTAATGCATCCTTGAAGGTTTAGTACTTTGGAAAAAGTTATAACATTTTCTTTAGTACTAAGAATGTATCTAGTTGTACTGATTTCAGTCTCAATTCTCAAACTAGACTAGATTAGGGGTGGACCGGTTCCGGTTCGGGCCCGGTTCGGGCCTGGGCCCGGCCGGGCCTCGGTTCAGAAAAAGGAGGCCCGAGCCCGAACCGGTGGTGGGCGGTTCCGGTTCCGGTTCCGGGCCAGAACCGGGCCGGGCCGGGCCGGGCCGGGCCACCCGGAATGTTTTTTTTTTTCTTCTTCTTCTCTTATTTAACCCCCTACCCCTCCCCCTCCACCCCAAACCACCTCAAATGGCCCAAAATACCTAATCCAACCCAAAACTTAAAAAAAATTCAAAAAAAAAAAAAAAAAATTAAATTCCGGCCCGAACCGGGCCCGGCCGGGCCGGGCCGGTTCACTAAACTGGAGGCCCGGGCCCGGACCGGTATACCACCGGGCCTGGAGGCCCGAACCGGAACCGAACCGGTTGACCGGGCCGGTCCGGGCCCGCACAGTAGCGGGCCGGTCCGGTTCCGGGCCGGTTGGCCCGGCCCGAGTCCACCCCTAGACTAGATATGAATAAATCAGATTGGCCAAGTTTTATGTCGTACATAATAGTAATAACATACAAAGTACTATGTATAAAATAGATCTTTATCATATTAGATTAGACTAGACAAGAAGATGCCGTCTAAATGAAACTTTGACTCATTTACAAAAAGATGTCACTTTCTTTTCATTAACTTTTAGTAAGAATGACCAAAGATATGAAACAACGTGGAGATGATTTTAAAAAGTCACAAAATAATTTAAAACCCTAAATCTACTTAAATCACTTCTCTCTACATCATCAATTGGGCAACTGGCTAGCCATCAAACACCTTCATAACTTTTTCTAAATAATGGTTAAAAAAGTGATCGGAGCTTTCATTACCGGTATAGTTGCAGTCTTACTTATAGAGGTTGTAGTGACATTTTTTTAGAGGAGTTATAGTGACATATACAATCACTTATTTATAATTTGAAAAAGTAATTAAGTTAATGTTTTTGGCTTTTCTTTAGACATAGTTACCGAAATCCCCAACTTTGATAAGATTAATTATCATTATTATATAAAGTCAATTTGTTTTTGAGTATGTATACATACACAATTTTTTTTCTTTTTCGAACTTTTATGAATAATTATAGTTTTCAAAAACGCACAACTCGATCTAAAAAAGTTAAAATTTGAATAATAGAGTTCGCGTAAACTTTGTTGTAAGACATATTGAAATAATAGTGAATAATTTCCTCAACCTTTTTGAAAGAAAAAAATATGATTAATCTCTTACCTAAAAAAATGTGACTAGTCTTTGTCTAATTCATTTATAATTTCTATCCTCCTAATTCATATCCAACTTCCTACCCATTATCAGTTTATCACTCACTCTTCCATTACCGGCCCACTACCCGAAATCACAACCTGTAATTGTCAAAAAATTTATTGAAGAAATTTAGCAGTGAATTTTTCCGGCAGTTATATTGACATATTTCACGATAGTAGTGATGCCAACGGTAAGTGACGATGAAACAATTTATTGACAATGCCATAAAAACTGTCACTGACATAGTAAATTGATAGACACTCATAGTTTCCCCATATTATTATCTGCATTCCCTAGTATAGCATGATAAGTGTAAGATTGTCATTGCTACAAAAGTGATTTTTTATCTTTAATTTATGAGGTACTCCCCCGTCCCTGAATTTACTTCTATAGTACAATTGACACATGGATTAAGAAAGTGGGAAATGTGTGGTGGAGAGTTGTGCAGAAGAAAGAGAAATGTGTAAGAATGTGTAAGAATTGCTGTGAACCACAAATTCTATGTCAAAAAGGGAAAGTGAAATTCTTTTTTGAACGGACAAAAAGGGAAAGTTGGAAGTAAATTGAGGGAGTATCATTAAACTACTTGAGTGTGAGATCTTGATCCCCTTTTAGTTTGTGGATGACAAGAGGAATAGCATCCACATCACTTTGATGTGGTTGATAACTCTTCTCCTCTCTTAATATCCGTTAATCTTTGTTGATGTGATTCGTTGGTCTTCAATGTCATGCCAAATTCTTCAATATGATGCCAAATATTGCACACTTTGTAATATCTTTAGAATTGGAAATATTTCTTTTTTAATTTAATCTATCAAGGCGAAAGGATCTTCAAAGACCAATAGTACATAAATGTTTACAACCCCCTTCTTCGAATAGCTTAATTGCTGAAAATCCTGAAATAGGCATCATAAAACTGGAAAGCTTTTAGAGCACAGTATATTTTCCCTATTTCTTGCTCCCTTCCAAGTTTCAACTCTTTTGTAGTATAACGCCTTATAGAATTGCATCATACAAATATGAGTTGTCTCGTGCATTTCTTTGCTAAAAAAGGCAAATATGATGTTACAACACTAACATATAGCACCTAAAATATTTAGAGTAAGTTAGGCTTCCTGATTGACTGCCACTTATACATATGCTTAAAACAAGAAAAGAAACAAAGTAGAAGGCATCTGGGGTGATATTTTATAAAGTAAAAGTCCTGATGAAATCATAAAAGTTATCCTTAAAAGTTGTCCTATACGGAACACTTGAAATTTCATCTTTAAAAGTTAACCAAATAGAAGAGAGATCCTATCTCTCTGCCCTTAAAAACTTTCTACTATCCTTGTTAAGATGTCCTTTACAAAGTTATCTTTCTCATCAATTTACTCTACTAGTTTTAGACTTTTAGTAATATTACCTCCGTCCAATTGGAAATTACAAAACATGTGTTTGGTATGAAATAAGAAGAGTGAAAATTTTGTGGTTGAGAATGGTAAAGAGAAGAGAGAAAAATTAAAATTACAAATTATTTACTTTAACGAGAAAGCGACGAAGTTTTTTGACGAAAAAAAAAAAGAAATTTGGCAATGTTCAATGAGACAAATGAAGTAATAATATGTCAAAAAGTGTTTACAGTGTACTCTATAATCTCATTTACCATCAGTAAAAGAACATTTCATGAAGCTAAAGAAAGAAAGTTTATATCAAGCGTGTAATTCAAACTAGGAACTTCTTTAAGGGGCATAAAGAGTACCAATATATCAGGACTCTTCTTAGTCCAAATTAACTTGATTGAAGGTGTAGTCCCAATTATATTAATTTAATACTATCCTATGTTTCTTTTTAGTTGCAACATTGAAAATTTTACACTATTCATATACTCTACTTTGATTACGTTTTATTTATTAATGTATGAGATATTTAATTTGAAAAACATTGTTCAATTAGTCTCATTACAAATTTTCATCATCCGATTTTTTATATTTTTTTACTGATGGAGAATTAAATATAATAACGATTGTTGAAGTTTATTCCTTCAATCCTTGGACCCAACACGTAAGCCCAAAGATTTCGAGTGGAGTAAGTGTAAGAATATCTAGCCCGACAACTATGAGATGGATCAGGAAACAAAAGTAATAGCAGGCAATGCAAATAGGTATTATTAACTTCGTAATAACTCCCCTAAGTACAATCTACTTGCTAAAAAGGGCACGTCGGCCGTTCGTCTTACAAGGCAGTAGAGATGCTGCGAGTAAGAATACAATAGCTAGTATGCAAAGAATAGAAAGTTGCCAACCCTTTACAATGAAATAAATGCTTCTATTTATACCCGCCAATGGGCAGGTAGCTATGCTGACGTGGAAGCCTGTGGATCGCTTGTGTCCCAACCACCAAATCTTCAGCATTTAATGCACTTCCCGCCAGAATCTAGGTTTCCCGCCTGATTAGTGGGGACGTTCGTCCGCCCGGGAAGTGAGTTGGATTGCTCCAGGTGACCCTCCGGAGATACCGGCTGTTCGTCTCCTGGCCTTGTAGATATTCACCATGTGGACTGGGTCCCCTCCGATGACTACAGGCTTGCCCCGGAGACGTTCGTCGCCATCCCTGGTGGCCCGTGGCCCTGCTCCTTGTCCCTGCACAGACGTTCGTCGGAGGAGCCTGCTGGGCCTGCGCCCCTTACGCCAGACGTTCACCCCTCCCCAACACACATGGGCCTATGAGCTGGCCTGGTGTTCTAGCTGGACGTGCGTCTGGAAATATGGGTTAGTGGGCCGGGCCTCGGCTTGGGCCCTTAACCCAACAACGATCAAAATTGTGCATTGGCAAGCATGGAAATGAGAATTTTGCAACTAAAAAAGAAGGGAGGAACTATATACTTTGTACATATGATGGATCACAACTTGAGGGTGGGGAGTTGGAGGTAGTGGGAAGCTATGAAAGGGATGATCACTTTGGCTGATCTTATAAGCATGCCTATTCCCAGGCCCAGCAGTACTCTTCTTCTTCTTCTTCAACTCATCAAGTATTTGATTAATGGGGTTGCCTGAAGCAACTCCAAGCCCACCTCACTTGTATCCCCAGACAATTCAGCTCATAAAACTCTACCAGGCTTTCATATTCTCAATCCCAATTCTCTTCTCTATCATAGTGTTCCTTTTGCTTTACTTGTTCTATCTTAAGAGGAGGATTTCCATTGCCTCAACACTTCCCACAACTTTTGCTAATCAGACTCCCATGGTAATTTACTCATCTTCTCCCCTTTATTTCTTGACTGGATATTCACAATTCAATTTATATAAGAAAAACTCCTCTTGGCTTGACTGTAGAATGAAGGAGGTTTTGATGGGATAGTCCAAAATTTCAAACTCCCTGTCATAGCCTTTGGTGAAGATTCCACAATGGAAGAATCACAGTAAGTTGATGTTGATCAATTGGTGCTAATTAGGTAACTGTTGCATGAAAAAATGATTCAAAAACATCACTTTTGAATTTTAAAATATTATTAATTCTTTTTATATAGTTTTTTTTTTTTGGAAATTGTCATTTTATTCTCGATAGCTATAGCCTACAAATATAAGAGAATGAAAGTTGGTACTGCGTACTACGTAATTTACTAGCTTCGATCTATTTCGTTTTTAAATGCATAGCTTATACAAGTATATGAAGTTTCCTACTCATTTTGGTGTTTGGATTCACTATTTAATTGGGGATATTTTTTATATTTTAACAATATTACAGCACATCTTTTTAGTTTTTATCAAACACTTCAATTTTTGCATTTTAGTTAAATCACTTCTTTGTTCACTAAACTGTCTGCGCTTCTTTGCTCACTAAACCCATTTTTGCATTTTCACTATGGGTCATCCGGAAACAGTCTATTTGTACTTTAGTACAGGGGTAAGATTGTGTACATCCGACCCCCCTACCCTACCATAGGTGGGAGCCTTTGCGGCAGTGGGGTAAATGAAAATGAAATGAGTTACAACCACTTCTATTTTCATCTACTACCAACTTTTATTACAAAATACTTTTAAAAATTCACTTTTGAAAAGCACAGGCAAACCAAACACTCCCTTATAAAGTTATATTAACCCAAATATTCCATTTTACTTGATTTGTTCTGGTATCAAATCAAATCAAACTAAACAAAATTTAAATAGACAAGATTAAATTTAAACATAGTGTATAAATATTTTGTTTTTATCCACTATTTTTAGATTTTAGATCAATCATATACTCCGTATTTGTCATTATTTTATAATTTCACTGAAGCAATTTCTGATGATGTAATGGGGATGCAGATGCTGTTGCATTTGTTTGGGAGAATACGAGATGGAGGATGAATTGCAGCAGCTCCCACCCTGCAAACACATATTTCACTCTCATTGTATATCCCACTGGCTTCGTTCCAACTCTACTTGCCCTATCTGCAGATGCCCCGTCTTTACCAGCTCCGGCAAGCTCCCGTCGCCAACATATTCTGCACCTGTCCATTAGTTCCACCGCCAGCACGCAACACTTTCATTTTAAACCCTAACATCCACAATGAATAATTGTCTATAATACGAAGTATATATCTCCTCATTTGATTTTGACATTTTTAGGGACTTAGGCCATACTTGGATGTCATGACTTCTGGAGTTACTCTTGACTAGGGATGGACTCGGTTCGGGCCGCCCAGCCTGGAACCGGCCCGGGAAACTGGTTTTGGACTTAGGCCCGGCCCGGGGGTTAGCTGTTCCGGGCCTTGAAAAAGGCAAACCGGCCCGGCAAGCTTTCTGGGATTTGGGGTTGGGCCCGGGACCGGCCCAGGTATCCACCGGGGCCGGGCCGGGTCAAAAGTAATTTTTTTGGGCTTTCCTAACTACCCCTGACCCCCCTCACCCCCACCCCCCCAAACCCCCCCAAAACACCCAGCCCAACCCGTTAGAATAAAAAAAATGAAAAAACAAAAAAAAATGATTTGGGCCCGAACCGGGCCCGGGCCGGGTCTCAAATAGGCCTACCCGTGCCCGGTACCGTTTTCCCCTCGGGCCGGGTCAAAGCCTGGTACCCGGACCGCTGACCGGGCCGGTCCACGGGCCGAGTGGCCCGACCCGAGTCCCCCACTAGGCTGGGCTGGGTGTTTCTGAGGGGTTTGGGGGTGGGGGGTTCAACTAAATAAGAAAGCAACCAGTTCAAACCAGGATCCATTTTTTTACTATGTAAATGAAATAAAATGAACTTATGAAGGGAACTTTAAAAAAATGTAGTAAATTTAGAAACATGAATTAGTCAAATCTGGCATTCTGGCCTCTAATGGAAATTGAAAAGCCTCCCAACTCACTCAGACACATACACAAGTAAAAAGAAAAGAAAACCAACTACCAATGCCAAACATATAGAAACTCCAGAAACCACAAATGGGCATAAATCAAAGAACCAACACCAAACTTGGGGTTTCTCCTGTTAAGCCTCTTGCACTTCCTTCTCTGTCTTTCTCTCCTCCTTTGACTTGTAGTACACACTCATGAAGGTGCCAAGAACCAACACCAAACCCCAATAATCTATGGCTAATTAATCAATTAACATCAGGGGTCTCCACTTCAGCTTTCTCCTGTTCAGCCTCTTGGACTTCCTTCTCTGTCTTTCTTCTCTTCTTTGACTTGTAGTACACACTCATGAAGGTGCCTATGGCTTTATACTTGCGCCTGCAGTGCTCATAGAGCCCAGCATCAAACATCCTCCAGAAGCTCTTCTCCGACAACTCAGACACTGCATATTGTGGTTGGAACCCGTGGTTTTCAATTAACCAATCCTCCAAACGCCGCACTGCCAATGAACCATCAAAGACTTCACCCCTAAGGACAGGGCCGGGTGCGTAGTACACTCCAATATCGGTGTACATTTGGGCATAGCTCGTGTCGCCCTGCCTTTTGTGCAGCTCAAATCCTGGTTCCGGATATATCATGGTTTTCAACGGGAGCCTGTAAAGTCTGTGTGGGCAAATCCTGGTTCCGGATATATCATGGTTTTCAACGGGAGCCTGTAAAGTGTGTGTGGGCAAAGCCAGATGGGGTAAACCTGTTGTTTAATCGAAGAGTCATATAATGAACTGAGGATAAAGAGAATCAGTTTTCACTGTCAGTTTGATAGAAGAGTTTTTCATCTTAACAGCCAGATTTCAAGAAAATGCATTCTTACTCATAAAATATACTGGCACAAAATAGAACTTTATGGGCAAAAACTATGCTGCATACTTTGTAACAAAATACTATCCCGGTCACTACCGTGTAAACATCAGTGGTGCCTATTAAAAATCACATTTTTATCCATTATTTTTTGTTTTGATCATACATTTGTCATTATTTCACTTATTATTGAATCATGTGGGCTGACAATTGAAGAAAAACAGTACATTCATAGTTTGGGGCTAAAGTGTCTTAAATTAATAGAAGAAAAGGACATATATACACTGATTTTCGGTATTGTTTTCTTTAAGTGCTTGAATATATGTATTTCATACGGAGTACGATAGTATATCTTAATATACGACAACAACATCCAAGCCTTATTCCCAAAAGATTTTGTTAGCCGACCCTAAAATCTTTTGGGAATAAGGCTTGGATGTTGTTGTTGTTGTTGTATATTTTAATTATAATTCCAATAATTTTATCATTTCACCCACAATTTTAAAAACTGTTCTCAAGTGGGTAAGGATTACTTGACCTGAATCTTTTCAAATTTTCAAAAGAAAAAGCATTTGGAAACATAAATTTTAGCCAAATAAATGATTGAAAAGCTATTTATTATGTACTACAAAGAACGGGCAGCAGCAGTTAAGGAAAGAATGAATAAATGAGGTACCTCCATCTCTGGGTGAACCCACTCGAGAGCATCTCCAACCTTGTAGAGAGGAACAAGCAGATCCTGAATGACATGATTGTCATGGTAATAGTTCCTAAGACCATTTGGAGTGGTGAGGTATTAGGAGTCCAAAATGCTAAATGTAGAATTTTTGGACTCCTAGTTGTGTGTAGTGGTAGTTTAAAAGGGGTATTAAAAATGGAAGAGGGGATGGAAGGTATTAAATATAGAGGGTTGGTTAAGAGGGGAGTGGGAAAAAGCAGGTTGCTTTTCTGGTGCAGATGATGTCATGTTAATGTCATCCCTGCATCATAATATCCCAAAAAAATTTAAACTTGTATAACTTTTTTTATTTTTTATCCAAATTTTTCAAAAAGTATATCAAAATTCATAAATTTTTATGATATTTCATATGACACCAATATGTAATATATAAAAATGATTTTTTTTTAAAGTTTTAACTGTTGAAGTTTTCTTGAGCCCCGGAAAAACATGAAACACAAATCTTTAATTCATGAAGCCTTCACAAATAATTGAATATTCCATAATCGAACTATACTTGAATTAAGTTCATATTTTGTTAACCGAAAAACGTAAAAAAAATTAATGAAATTTATTTATTTTTATATCGAAATATGTCTTTTTTATTTTATAATTAATCAGAGAAAAAATTAAAGCGAAAACATTACTTAAAATAATTTAATTAATGTTTTACTAAACCATTGGTCACCCGAGTAGAGATACTTTAGGCGGCAATGCGGCATCAACCACCCGAGCAGAAACCTAAACCACCACTGGTCAGCAAATTGGAGGATAAGTTTGCCTTCCCAATACAAGCACCTTGTGTGCCTATGGTAGTATTCCCTCGTCGGTATGTACCATGACAAGCACCTTGCCGTTTGGACGTGTTGATAAAACCATGTCTTGAACCACCACCCGACATTGTTGATCTTAATTATTCCCCTTCCTTTTCGCCTCTTCTTTAGACGCATATCTAGCTACCAGTCATGCAAACAGCTTCAGTAGGAGTGTAGATCATGGTTTCCACAAAGTCAGGAACCTTATCCGGGTTATCTTGGTCTCCATCTCTGGGTGCAAATGAGTCTATGTAAGCCTGTGCGATTTCTCTCAGATTACCAACCACGGGTGTGTAAGTCACTTTCATGTATTCCTTAATCGGTATTAGCTTAATCTCCGCCGAAACAACAAGTCCAAGAGTACCCTGAGACCAAGGAACCCCATAGAAGAGGCCAGGTCCGAATACTCATTGTCTTTGGTAGCCCAAACTACCAAACTACCTCTCCGTCTGCTAGAATGATCTCGTATGCCAGTGTCCGAAAACAATCCATACAAGTGTGAGCTGCCTTCAATGCCATATAAAGTCCTTGGATGCGTCCCTTTCTTTCAGACTTTCTTAACATTGTCATCATGTTCCTTCTGGCGGCGCTTGAAGGACTTGCAGTTGGACTTTATGCCGCCAAGATAGATGGCAAAGTAGTAGAGGCAGGAGACTGGGAGGACGACAAAGATAACGATGATCCATCTGAACTGCACTAGGAACTCCACCCAGCCCTTCTTTCCCTTCTCTCTTAGGAAAAATGGAAAGGAAAGTGAGAAAAAATAATGGGAATGAGAGTATAATAAAGTCATAATATTGAAAAAATATACTTCGGACACAGTAAGTCAGTAACAAAGTAATAGACAAAAATCAAAATACTCATCGGAGATGTGAAAAAAATCTGTACAAGGATGTTTCAGGCACATCTTCCAAAATAAATAAGTACTGAAAAATAAAGGCCAGAATACCAAACTCTCATTAAAGCAGATAAAGTAGGTGAACTCAAGCTTTCATTGTGGCTGTTCAGCGGGTCCAACACTACAATCACATGGATAAATCAGGGAAAAAACATCACTTTTTTTGTACACTTTTTGGTCACAACATGATAAGATCTGGAGGAAATGTGGTGGGTTATGACTTAGGAGGATGAATGATTGGGTACCAGTACACCATTTCGTAAACATGCAGAAGCTAGAGAAGCTTAACCTCAGATCTAAACCTCATATGAAACCAAACAATACTTTAAATAGTTAATGCAGATTAGCAGATCTACAACCCAATTGGCAAACATGTAAAAGCAGGGGCGGACCGTCTTACATCACTTTTTTTGTACACTTTTTGGTCACAACATGATAAGATCTCCAACAAAATTTACTTTTAGTGTATATATATACGAAAAATAATTTTCACCTCCTAGAAATATAATTTTTGTTTCAAAAAGTATTTTGAATCCCCAAGATGACTTTCCTGGGTCCGCCCCTGTGTAAAAGGTAGAAAGAAATAAATGTAAAAACAAAAAAAATATACAGAACAATTAATAAAAATTAAAAACCCATTGATTTTTAAAAACACAAACAGGAAATGAATTTCGTTATAAAATGAATCTTGACCAAATATGCAATGCTTAAGAAACCAAGCATTCCAGCCCAGCTGGTTGTGAGGTTACCATGCCTAGTGGGAGGTCTCGAGTTCGAATCCCGCTAGACACACAAGGGTGTGAAAATCCATGTTTGGTTCAACCCATAAATCTTTTTTAAATAAAATCCAAAACAGAGAAGAAAACATCAAACTTGAAGTGAAAATTTTGAAAATTGAGCAAAATATTAGTAACAAACCTTCAATGCTCAATTAATTTCAGATATAGAACAAAAGTACTGAGCATTGACAGGGATTTGATTGGAAATGACCTTACTTCAGAGTGAGGAGAAGGATGAAGGACGCAAAAATGAAACCAAAATTATGAATAACTTCAAAAAGATGTTTCACTGGGAAGTATAATTATTTCACTAGCTCAATTATATTTCACTACTGATGTTCTGAAATTATGAATAATGTTGAGATGTTCTGATTTCCCAAGTTATTTTCCCAAGTTAAGCTTCAAAAAGATTAAGAATGCAGTTAAACTTAGATGAACTAAAGACTTACGGCTGTAGATTCTGCAGAGGCTATTACACTACGGGTCCACGAGTATACCTTTTGGATTCGCTAGAGAGTGGAAACGTCTACCGCTGGTAGACTAGAAAAATGAAGGAAAGAGCTTTCATTAGACACAGAAGAAAGAAAGCTCGTATCAGGGAGAAGAGAACTTACATTACCTGAGAATTACATTACCTGAGAAAAGATCAGATGTTTTCCTTCTTCGCTAGCGCTGGAGCATGGAGAGGTCTTCCAACACAATCAGCCGCTCAAGTTTCTTCTGCTTTAAAAGTG